ATAAATCTCGGCGTTTTTTCCCATTTCTTGAAGCGTTCAACGTCTAATTTATTAAGAATCCATCCGGAAATTTAGGATCACCACTTTCTTGGAATTCTTGGTAGAGTTGCTGTAGGTTGCAAAAGTTGGGAGCTAATTGAATAATAGGTTTCTTTAATTTTTTATATATTATTGTGATAATTAAGGATTAACAGATATATCTTGTTTTTAGGTTTGGATTAGCTGCGTTGCTTTACAAGGAGATATCGCAATGATATATCGCTTCGCAAACCCGAAAGTTCTAGCATAAGTACACCCATGGCTTTCAATAAGCCAGTAATCAAAGACTTTTTTAAAAAATATGCGGGCATCATAGAAAAATATACGTTAAGCCCGAACAGATAGAGTTAAAATAGTTATGTTACATGCCAAAGTTGTTGCCCCGGAAGGCAAAAAATAAGTGACTCATATTTCTTTACATGTGCGAGGTAGACTTGTAACGTGTGTAGGGATGGTTGGTGCAGTTAGAGTGCATGAATGAACTACTGAAATATTTGGGTGGTAGCCATCCGACGTCTGCCATTGTTCTAGGGAATAAAAAAAGGGTGGATGACATCTGATCTTTTTTCGAAAGTACTTCAACGCTTTGCAAGTACTGTTAAATGATCTAGGTAAAATACAGGTTAAATGTTCTTGATAACCACATATCTGCAAAGGATATTAAATTATGTCAAGAAAATGGTATCATTTTCCTGTTTTTTTTTCACATCATACCACACACAGAACTCAGCCACTTGATGTTGGAGTATTTGGTCCCTTTAAATCATACCTATTTGTGGCCCAGCTGTGTTATTATTAAAGCATGCATATGAATGTGCATTTACAATTAAAAATTTAACACGTTTATCGGTCTATAGTTGAATATCAAACTTGTATTTAGTGATGCAAATTTGTGTCCAAGTGAAGTAACCGACAAACCATTGACAAAAAATAAAGATGTTAGTTATAATGGCACCACACAGAGAATATTAGAAACCTGGACAATTTCACTAATTCCTTCAATATAAAAGTATGCAGAAGAAGAAATGAATAATAAGACACCTCCAGATTATTCTACAACAACTTCTGTGTTATCCCAGATTAGGCCGTATCAAAAAACACAACTTAAAGAAAATAATACAATCGACAATATATACTGAAATGCTGGAATACGAAAAAAGAAAAAGATTAGAAGCAGAACGCGCAAAAAAAGGATAAGCTTAACAAATAATAAGGCATTAGGCAAAAAAGATTTGGTTGTAACCGTTAGACAACGCAACATGACATAGATGGTAGACATTTTCATGACTTAAAATATTGAAAATTTTGTCTTGGTAAAATTTATAGTTTCCAAATTTTTTATGTGGATCATAGAACTTCTTTCCATGATAAGGAATATGTGATTAAATTTCTACGTCGTAAACAGTTTTTTGTTTCCTGTAGTCGATGATATTTCAGTAGTAGAAACAAACATTGCAGCTATTTTTCCTCTCTCTTCTACTCAGTGGACTGCAAAAACTACAATGTTTTTAATTCAATGTTAATTTTGCCGGTTTAAATTTAAGATAAGGTACTATGTGTAACTAAAATACACACGTTCAAGATAATTTTTGTATTTCTTCTACTATTATAGGGTATTTTTATAGATAGCCAAATGTTCCCCTCTATATAGCTGAAACTACTTATTCGGTAGAGCAGTTACGGCTGTTGGCCAAAAGAAAATAAAAACTCAAAATGGTAAACTTATTATTTAAATATTGCTTTTTAACTCTTAAAACATGGGCCCAATAAACTACAGTTTTATTTAAAAATACCAGATTGTGACTAATCCTTGAAGTTTATTTATGTTTGGTTTCTAAAGGTTTATATGCTAAATGTGGACCACTTTACCCTATTGTTGCAAGTCTATGTTTTTTGTATGTGTTTCTTGAACGAAAAATGAAGAATGAAGAATGTCAATATTTTGTTTGACAAAACATGACTTTTGAGGTAAACTTACTTTTGATTGATTTCAATATTGATTGTAATGTTGATTGGGAACTTATCAGAAAAATTATCAAGAATTAGATATAATGAACTTTCTAATAGGACTTGCCTTATGATTATCAAGTTACCTTAGTAACAGAAGTCAAATAGTTAAAATTATGAACCACTTCTATTATCCCATTTTAGCTCATTCTGGCGTTCCTCAAGGATTTCAGCTTGAAGTCTTGAGTTTTAACCTATTTATAAAGTATATTGGTTTAGATTATCAGATTTCCAAATCTTTAGTATTTGTAGATGATCTCTAGTTTTATGCAAGAGTAAACAGTGTTAATTAAAGTATTATTTTAAATAAGTAGATGGAATGAGTTTGAATTTAAGTAAATGTTACTGTATTGCATTTTATAGATCTAGAGTTCTAATTGTCTTTGATAATCAGCTTTACAATACACCACATAAGATAGTAAATATAATTTTTTTTTGTTTACAGGTATCTACTTATCACTGTTATAATTCAGTTACTAGTAAAGCTGGGCATGGCAAGGTTGATGTTGTTTTGCGTAATTTAAGGGATCTATCCATTAACTTAACTTTACAGTATTCCTCTAATGTTGGTCTCCATTCTACCACATCCATATTAATGCTATTGAAAAAGTTCAGCATAAATTTCCACGGTTTATAGCATACTCTATTAAACGGGTCTTTGCATATTTACTCTTATGAACATATTCTAATGCAACTTAAGCTTCACACTCTGGACAATCGTAGGATAAGGTCAGATACAATACTTCTTTTTATGCAGCTATCTGGTCACATTTAGTGCCCTGTCGGGCTTGAGCTATTCTTCTTTAAAATACCTTTAATACGGGTTACCAAAAATAATTTCTAGTTTGATGTTCCATATCACAGCACTAACTATGGTTTTTATAATCCATTGGAACGTCTCTTCCGACTTGTCAATGGATTCAGTTATGAGGGTGCAGGTTTTACTGAACCACCAATGAATCACCAATAAATAATTACTGCGGAGGATGAACACAAACGCAGATTTGGTCAACATTGTAAAGAGCCGTAAGCTGGAGTACTTGGGACATATAATGAGAAATCAAGACAGATACGAGCTACTCCAATGCATTTTTCAGGGTAAAATTGAAGGAAAAGGAGCCCCAGGACGAAGAGAAATATTCTGGCTTGCTAACCTGAGAGCATGGTATAGAAAGACCTCAACACAGCTATTTCGTATAGCATCCAACAAAATCATCATAGCCATAATGATCGCCAAAGTTCGGAACGAACAGGCACCCTAAGAAGAAGGTTTCGGGAATACCTTTCACTATTTTAAGCATATATTTGTTTTCAATGTATTCATTTTTATGATTATGATATGATTATGATAATAAAGGGTGTTTTTTTTTTAGAGGTATAGAACTTTGAATTTCAATCAAACAAAGACGATTTTTTAAATTGAAATAAAATTGACATTATTAAAAAATAATCTATTGGCATTATAATTTAAATATGATTTCTGGCATATGACCGCCATTGCTGGTTCTGACATCTTTGGGTCCAATTTTCGATGACTTTTTTCAATATTTGTGGCCATTTATCGGCAATAACGCAGCGAATATTATTCTGCAAGTGGTCTATCGTTTTAGAATTATCGGCGTAGACTAGCGACTTCACATGTTTTAAAGAAAATAGTCTGACGGGTTAAATCTCACGATCTTGGAGACCAACTCACAGGTCCGAAACTTAAAACTATGCGGTTACCCAAAGTTTCATTCAATAAATTAATTGTTGCACAAGCTGTGTGATACGTTGCACCGTCTTTTTGAAATTACAGCTTCTGCACATTATGGTTGTTCAAGAAAATTCAGTAATCATGGCTCTATATCGGTCAGCATTGACTGTAATGTTCTGACCAGCATCGTTTTTGAAGAAGTATGGACCAATCATTCCACCAGCCCACAAAGTACACCAAACCGTCAGTTTTGTTTGTTGATATAGTCATTTAACCAAAAGTGAGCTTCATCGCTAAACAAAATTCGATTATGCGAATCAGGATCAATGGAAATCTTGTTTTGGGTCCATTTACAGAATCTACGCCTTGCTAGGTGATCGTGTATCTTCAGTTCTTGCACGAGTTAGGTATTGTAAGCACGCAAACCAAGACCTTTCCGAAAAATCTTTCATAAAGTGGATGGACACATATCCAACTGCCGGGCACGATGGCGGATAGACTAATTCGGGTTTTCCTCTATGGTACGCTCTACATCAACAACAGATTTTTCAGTTTATTCATTCAGTGCGTAATATCATTTAGAGTAAACGTAGTGCAAAAACCTTCCATGGTTAATCGTATTAATTGCTCTGATAGACGAACATGTAAACCATAAAATGGACATAGTGATGACATAGTAGATTTTCAAAACAAATTTGCAAAATTTGGAAGCGCTGTTCAGGCGTCAGTCTATTTATAATAAAATGTTAAACCAAATTAAACATAAATCACTTGACAGCTGTCAAAATGGCTGCCAGTTAAAAAAATGTTGCCAACTTACATTTCTATACCTCTAAAAAAAACCCTTTCTGTCTTTGCTGTTTATTGTTTTGATTATTATTCGATACAGTTAGTTTAGGATTCTTTATATTTATATTTGAAATTGAATTGTAAAAAGAGGTTTTCTCCTTAGTAAATAAACAAATAAAAATATTGGCTTAATACTAATTTTAAGAAATGCACTTCAATCCGAGATAAGCACAAACTGTTTTATGTTACACCAATTTGCACGACTACAGTAATTACAATTGGATTATTTATATCTATTAGCATATCAAGAAAGGATCGTCCCTTAAAGGATAATTGTTTTCTCTTAAAACTCATTACACGAATCGTTCGTACGGAAACAAGCAACATATAATTAATGAATTTAATTAGGATACAGGCCCAATTGCGCAATTTTCCGTAATTGTCATATCTTCTCTTTCCGCGTTCGTACCTTTCCGTTGCGATCATTAGTTTTAAGAAATTGGAAACGTGTAGGATTGTCAGTAGTAATGGAGAATTATGAGGTGCTTTAATACACTGCTTTACATAAAAGTAGGACAATTTAGCATTTGTAACCGTGGCTTATAATATTCAACTAAAAGTATAAAATTAATAATTATTTGGGAAAGTATGTAGTAATTATTTTAATATCTTACATTTATTATTTTTCTTTTACTGTACTATAATGTGATTTAATTTAATGGTATATTCTAACTTATTTTTTTTTAATATATTGTTTTCTGTTATTTCGTAAAATCTCATTGTTAAACAGGCTTAAACACATTCTGGATTTAAGTAGGGGGAATTTAACGTCTTTTGTTCGTTTTTGAAAGTGTTTCATAACGCCCTACAATAGAGTTGATTTATGGATTGACCCTATTGACCACCCGTTAGTAGTTGTAGTTGCACATTTATATCCTTAAAAATGCGAAACACTTCCTACTGAGACAGCGTACAGTAAAAAATACGGGAGTCCCTTCCTCTTCGCCTCGGATGGTGTCACCTCGATCAACGCTACCAATCTACTCCACTGGCTACAATTAAATATACGAATATACCAAGGGGTAAGTCCATTTTCTTTGTACAGTTAACAGTAATGAGTCAAAGCTAGTTAATTCTCGTAATTTATTCACAATTAAATATTTGCTATTTTCGCTACTTTTATTTACAGTCAAAATATTGTCATTATTACAATGTCACATTATATTATTTAACCAGCGACTTGTTTTATAGTTTTATACAAAACAATAATAAATAAGTAATAGTACATTGTTTACCGGGTAGGAAAAGCTTAACATTCCTGGACGACTGTGAAGATTGCTAAGTCGAGGCGCAAGCCGAGACTTAGCAACACAGAGTCCAGGAATGTGGCTTTTCCTAAGAGGTAAACATACTATTTTTCCGCAAATCGTTTAAAATTCGACAGATATTGATTGATTTAAAAAAAAAACGCGATAATTTTATTCCCAAATAAATGGTGCTTTGAAATTCCTAATAAAATTACTTGGGTTACTATGGAAACGTATTGAGGTTGAATTGTCAAACTTGACGCTTATGTATGTAGAACACTAACAACTGTACGGAAATATCATTTTCTTACAGTAAGGAAATAACATTTCCTTACAGTAAGGAATTCCTGACTTTTTCTTCAAGAAATTTTGACAAGAATGTCAAAATTTCCTGGCGATTTGCGGAAAATATAGATTTTGTATGCTTTCTTACAGGTATTTAAAGTTTACTTTAATTATAATTTCTGTTTCACTTAACTGTCCTAACAGAAATAAAAATATTTGAATAATAAAACAGAAAGAGAGTTACAAAAAAATGTTTATCAAAACAGATTAATGAACCAGATCCGATGATTAACTAACATTTTGTATTTGAACTAATCAACTGTCTAGAACATTTTTGTTCTAGGTATTCTTAACCCTTAACTGATAGACGGTTTAATATTTTTAATTCTTTCTTATTGGCAATTGGTATCGCCCACAGGCAAGTCGTTCCATCGAATCCTTTAGCTATTTAAACTTGACCAGTAAGTGTATTTGAGACAAGTTTCTCCTAGTTCCTAAAAAGTTGTGGCAACAGTTAGTTCGTTAGTTCGTTAGTTGCTCAAACGACGCCGGACTTTTTGTGTGACTTTTTTGTGTATCGTGCATTTTTAGAAATTGTGGCCGGGTCATCAAAACGGGTGCGTTTCGGCGATGAAGCATATGAGAAAACTCTTTTAAAGTGATACAATGAGAAATGTGATAATGGCAGTGAAGTAGACGATATTTCGGAAGACCATAACATTAAATGCTGCAAAACTTAATGAACAAAATAACAGAAACAAGTAGAACCGATGGACTGGATATAAACTGTTTTATATGTTTATAATAAACACTAGCAAAACCAAGCTAATGATCATCAGCAAGCAAAACATAACTGGAGCAAAATCTGTATGTGAACCAAATGAGAATTGAACGTGTCTCACAATACAATTACTTGGGAACTATAATCAATGAGTCGTGGGACAATACCCAAGAGATTAAATGTCGCATCGGAAAGGCCAAAAGTGCATTTTTGGCTATGAGCTCTGTGTTCAAAAGCCATGACCCCACCCTGAAAACAAAAATAAGGCTTCTTAGATGTTACGTATACTCAGTGCTTCTGTATGGAGTAGAAACGTGGACATTGAAGGCGGAAACTCTATCAAAACTTCAGGCGTTTGAATTATGGTTATACAGAAGAATCCTGAAGATACCATGGATAGAAAAAGTCACCAATGAAGAAGCACTGCGGAGGATGAACACAATCGCGGATTTGGTCAACATTGTGAAGAGCCGTAAGCTGGAGTACTTGGGACATATAATGAGAAATCAAGGCAGATACGAGCTACCCCAATGCATTTTGCAGGGTAAAATTGAAGGAAAAAGAGCCCCAGGACGAAGAAGAATATCCTGGCTTGCTAACCTAAGAGCATGGTATAGAAAGACCTCAACGCAGCTATTTCGTATAGCAACCAACAAAATCATCATAGCCAGAATGATCCCCAACGTTCGGAACGGACAGGCACCCTAAGAAGAAGAATAACATTAAATCTGAACTCGATACATGTTAGTATTAGCAGTTAGTGATTCTAACAAAAACTAAGTTTATGATAAATATTGACACAGGTGGTGTACCTCGGAAGGTATCCCTTCATCTAAAACACGTAAACACAATATTGTAATAAAAGAATGCATTCTAAAAATAAAGGCAAAAATACTGAGCGAGGCTGCGATACCCTTGTCTGTTTGAAATATTTTGTTCAGTAATAACATTCTGGAGCATATTAAGTAAAATACAAATAAAAAATTTGTTAATATTGTTAATAATATTAGATCGTCTAACTAGAAAAAACTTCCTTGTAATAAAATAATGACTGTGACTTATTGTTATTTTATTTCCATCAAAATTGACATTTATACTTGTCTAAACTACTAAACTTAACTCATTAACTTATTTACAACATAGGATGGTAAATTACGTAGATGCCTTCTTCATTCTGCTTTAACACCTTCCCTCATTGAGTAATTTTCCAACCCGATTTCAAAAAGTAATTTTTTTCATTCTATTTGAAAACAGCGGCTTCGTTAAAACATCCGCTAACTGATTTTTAGATGACGCCTTTACTACTTCAAGTGATCCATCCAATACCATTTCTCTAACAAAAAAAATGTCTAATATGTATGTATATGTTTAGTCCGGCGATGAAACTCGGGATTCTGCGTTAATCGTATGGCTGATTCATTGTCGACATGTAGTGTCGGAACCCAGCTAACGCCGGTTAATTCCGTAAATATTCTTTTTAACCAAACTATTTCTCGTGCAGCGTCACTTGCAGCTACTATTTCTGCCTCTGTTGTCGATATGGCTACTGATGTTTGTCTCTGACTAAACAAGATACAGCTGCTCCAGCATAGACACAATACCCCAGATGTCGATCTTCCGGTTGTTATATCACCTCCATGATCAGCATCACTATAGCTTGTTAACTTAGGTTGTATATCTGGTTTTCGCATATAAGTTAAGCCATAATTTATTGTCCCATTCAAATAGCGGAATATTCTCTTAACTTTTACATAGTAGTTTGGACTTGTATTTTCTAATTTCCTGGATACAACACTAACAGCATAAGCTATATCTGGACGTGTACCCGTCATTAGGTACATAAGAGCACCCACAGCTTCGCGATATGGAAAACAAGTATTCGATTCTATTTCACTAGTTTCCTTCCCTAATTGGATAGCTTTTTTTACAATCGGGGTCGAGACCGGTCTGCTATTTTCCATGCCAAAACGTTCTAGCACCTTTCTTGTATAAGCTGACTGGGTAATACTTATGGAGTCGTCTGGATTTCTTTCGATTTCCAAACCTAAGAAATATGTAGCTGGTTTAACTGTTATTTTAAACTTCTCCTGAAGCTTTTTCAAAAAATTCATCTTCATTATTTCATTTGTACATGCTATTAGACCATCGTCAACATACAGCACTAATATTAACATGTCTTTTCCTTCGATTTTAATAAATAAACATGGATCTGCAGTACTTCGTTTAAAGCCAAGCGAATCTATAAAGTTTCCAAAACGCTTATTCCAACACCTTGGTGCCTGTTTTAATCCATATAAACTTCTCTACATTTAATAATATTATAGAAAATTGTCAAAGTGCACATGGTCTTGATCAATCTGCCACTACTGATGCAATGCTTGTAAATTTTCGGGGAAAATGCCGGTTTAAAATTTACATGCCCAACAAACCGGCTAAATACGAATTCAAAATCTTATGGATGCACCTAATGATTATTTATTTGTATAATGCTTATATCTACAGCGAAAGAGACTCAGATAGATTTGGTATCAGTGACGAGTACAAAAAACAACTAAAGGCTACCCAAGCTGTATTGCGCTTAGCTGAACCACTTTTTGGTAGTAACCGAAATATCACAGCTGATAGTTGGTATTCTTTGATTTAATGGGAGAATATTTTGCGGAAGAAAAATTTGAGTTCAGTGGGCACATTAAAAAAAATTAGGATTAAATACCTCCATCTTTTTTGTCCCACAGAAACAGACCTAAAGGGTCAACAATTTATGGATTTAGGGAGGAATGTACCTTAATTTCTCATATAGGAAAAGTGGGAAAGGCTTCAGTACTTATATCTTTAATGCATAATAGACGTTATAGTGATACCTTTACTATCAAACCATAAAAATATTTATTATAAAATATTTATCATAAAATATCAAATCATTTATATTATAATGAAAATGGGGAGGTTTTGATTCACTAGATGAGAAATGTTCCAAAAGCACCTTAAGCCGTCGAATCAAAAGATGGCTATTAACAATTTTTTTCAGCGTATTGGACAATTCTAAAGCAAATTCATACTTTTTAAATTAGTGCTACAAAAACAATCCAGTAATAAAAGAAAAAAGTGTTTTG